TTTAGTACGCGGAGCAATCTGTGGAGCTGGAAGCTGAGAACTGGCGATTTTGGAGTACAACTTTCGTACATTATGCCCCATATTGCGGACGTGCGACAACCGCTGGTGTTGTTGGCTAGTTGTGGCTGCGCACACCTGTGTGCACAATACCTCGTACATCCGTCGTGCACATCACTCTCTTACACCTTCTCTCCCACCCCTCTGTTGTAGGAAGCTGATATCACTTCCTGACAAGGCCGTGTTGTAGAAGCTATTGAAGCTCTGACTGCTTTGTGCTTTAGAAACTTAAGATTCGTAGATTCATATGTGGGGTTATCCGGTCCTTTAATTTTGGTGCGATCCAATTCTTCTGCGGATGAAACGTGCGTCTTCACTTGAAACCATCCAGTCTGGTGATGTCTGAGATTGGCTTCGGACAGATGTCCATTGAATCTGTGGATTTGGAGGATTCATTCCAGTTGAAAGCATCTATCAGCATTCTGCCCGCTTAAAAAAGAGGGCGAGAAACTCAAAACTCGATGGTCTAAATTTGTTTCGATGTTCGCTGGCGCCCGTTTGAGTCCTTGCGTGGAAAACGTGAACACCGATGGAGCTGATAGAATCCGTGGCTTCTCAAACCCCCCAAACAACACCAGGGCGACTGGTTCAAAGGAATGAATCTTTCGGGGCACGAGGACGGAAAAGGACGGAGGATGAACAGCGATGATTTGGGCCCTCAGTAGCCGAGGAGCGATGATTTGGGTGGTTTCGCCTCAGGTTCCAATACAATTTGAAAGAGATTTACCACTGTTCTATCTCTATGTGGGAGTTTTATTGTACTGTTTTATCGATTTGGGGATCCAAACATACCTGTCATCATCTCCTCTTCACTCCTCCAACCCACAGCAACCGCCGGCCGAGGCCCGAGCGGCGGACGCCGGGATCCTTCCGCACTTCGCCGACGTGCTCGACTTTTTGGCCCAACAGATCCGACAACCAGGGGTGCGGCTGCGCAGCCTTTCGCCGGCTCAGCAGAAGAGATTCGGCTCAGTGATGTCTGTTCGTGCGACGCACGCGCACAGAATGGGGTTTGCTGATGTTCTCCGTATGAGGGGTGGGGTTCTCTACGTTCTCCGTGGTTTTATGATGATGATGATGATGATGAGGTGGTTTGGGGAAAGAGATTGATGGGGGAACGTACTGGTTAGGTCTCGTGTTTGGAACTATACCACAGTCTTCGACCACGCATGACTCTTCAAGCAGCCCGACGTTGATGATGAGGTGTGTTGGCGCACTATCCGGATGGACATGAACCGGAACAGGGGAGTCAAAAGTCCTTGTTTTGTCAATTTCAATTTTGTGGTTCTTCAATGCATGGTGGAAACTCCTAGAAATTGGTCATATCGACACCCTAAGACTGGTAACTCAAGTCTTTTTGCGGACGCCATTGTCCTTCAACACATGGTTACCTTCCCCATGAAGTGCTATTGCCAATCGACCCGCTCCTTGATGTGACTGAAGAGGGTGAGGGTAAATGCTTTAGGGTGAATGCCATCAGCAGCTGAAGAGGTCAACAATCCGAAGAAGTACAGCACATGAAGAACATGGCTCAATTATGTGAGCATGTGGTACATTTCAAGGGCAATTTGGCTGCTCTTGGACGTTTCTTTTTTCTTTCTTGCTCAAGAGGAAGACGACAGAAATAGCCGGCATAGCGGCATAGCCTTAGAATTGGTCAAGCTCTTCTCAAACAGCCCCTCAGAAGTCTCAGCTGGACAAAACCATTTTGGACCCCTAAGACTTCACCAGCCTCTCGTGGCACCGGTCACCTCTCTTTGCACCGAATTCGTTGTCTTTCTCGTCGCAGCCCAGGAATTTGGCCAAGTACCTCTCGAAGCAGACCTGCGAACAGATGCTGCTGGCCACCTGGGCTGCAGGTAGCTGGAGAAGTTCTAGTGAGGCAGAGCTTGAGGTACCAATAATTACCCCACAGGTTTACCTGGAGAAGTGGGGGCCCCCCAAACATGTTCTGAAGAGAGTCCAGAAATCAGCCAAAACCAACAGTTCATTCTTAGATGTTCACCAAGAGTAGTGAACATCTTGTTGTCTAGTGTTGTGTGTATCCATGTATCTTGGTCCGACCCCAAAATCAAGGAGTACATCGTGTACAGTCCTAGCCCAATCCACCCAAATGCATCCCTTGTCACAACACTTTTTCTTTTTGCACTTCTTGAGCCATTGGACGAGCCTGCGAGCCAGGCTCTGGCCTAGCTTGCAGTGAAGTAGGCACCAGATCACTTCTCACCAAAAACCACCGGAGCAACACCGCCACTGAGGCGAACTTGACCACAGCTGGAGTCGATTGGGGCCGGAGGTCTCAAGTCTCCCAGCGCTTAAAAGCCATCCGGCAAGCGCTGAAATGAGCCAAGAATTCCATGGTTTGCCATAAAACACCTGCATAAGAATTGGAAGTATATTGGAAGATGCCAACCATGTCGTCTACAAAACGGCTTTTCAGTCATTCTAGTACACTTGCTTTGGACGAGTTTGTGTGTGTGTCAACCCCTGTTCTTCGCTAGCTCTGTAGTTTTTCCGGATTTGATCAGCAGGGCAGTCCCACTTGTCTTCCTCTTTGCAGCGGTTTGCACCTGCCGCTCCTCCCTTGTCTCCCCACTTGTCTCACGGGCGGGAAAAGATGAGCTTCAGTTTGAGTTAGTTGCTATCTGGGGTCTATGATGTCTATGCTGGTGTATGTGTTTCTTTCTTTTTCGAGAGATTTCCTGGTGGATCATGGTGGGTCCACATAGGTCCACTATCCATCCCTGAGGAAACAAACACCGACGTGTTGAGCTCTTCCTTTGTGAGCCTTTATTTTTTCGCAAGGCTCAAAGGCGCTCGTCATAATGAGAGATTTAGGACTTTAATATGATTTACGACATGAAGTCAGTGCAATTTGAGAGATTGGAGTCAACCGGTGTCTTGCATAGCAAGAGGCGTTGGCCTAGTGGCTATGCGCCTGGCTCTTCGCAGGTCTGGCGCATCCAACTCAGAGAAGATATCGTTGGACCCATCCATCTCAGAATCGATTCGTCTGGACCCCGCATGGGCCAGGGCCGACTCGTCTCTCCGTGGGCCGGTCGCGATCTGCGACCGCAATGCACTGCGAGCACTGGTCGTCTTCGGTGGTCCTACTCCCCTGCAGAGGAGCACATGACGACCCCCAAACCGTTGGGTTGGTAAAAGAATCGAAACTACCGGTCAATTCTCAGGTTCCATGTTAGTTTGTGGGGGGTATATATAGGAGGCTTCTCGGCCGTACATATGCCTGTAAGTCTGGAAAGGCTGCAGGGTTGAGACGTTGACCGGAGACGACGCAATACTTAGTACATTCATTGGGCAGGATTTCTTGCTGAATTTCTTGCAACTATAAGAATCAGCCCTATTTGTCGCTGGTGCAGAACTATAAGATCACTATTTCGATCTTCAGAACTTGCTCGGGAAGTCAACCAGCGCGGTCTGTGGCCATGGTTCCGTGGCGATGGTTCCATGGTCGGTCCTTGCTTCGTCGCGGAACCGCGGGCTCGTGCACGATCCCAGATCCACCTCGCGTGCCTGACCAACTGGTCCGCATCCGCGGGGTGGCGCCGCGACGGTTTGAGGCGTCTGGGGCTCAAACGCGAAGGTTCACTGGCGTTTTTATGGTGATCGATTACTATAACCACTGGCTATAACATGCTATAACCACTATTGGATTACTATTGTGTGGATGTGGGAGTAACCCAGGGAGTAGCCTATAGAGTAGCCTTTTTGCAGCTGAGAGCAGAGTCAAGAAGGTGGGGCCACCAGGGTGTTGCGGCATCGTCAGCTGTCGGTTGAGGTGAACGATGGTAGAAGAGGGGGATCACCCATGATCGATGAGCTTTGATTCTTCAACAAAGGTGTATGTGCACTGAGATTTTCATCTCGGGGACTGGAATAGTCACACATATATTTACCCTACTGATGACCCTGATTGCCCTAATGTAAGTCTATAACTTTTCCAGTCCCATGGATGGTCTGGGAATTAGAGGTAATACTTTTGACCAACCATGTGGCCAGCTGAACCCGAACCCGCGCGTTTCGCGCACCGTCATCCGCCGAGCTTGCACGGGGAGTACAGCCCGCGTGTAGCGCGAGTGCATACCGAGAATCCTTAGATGGGGACTTCTGGGCTGTTCTTCGCTCACGGAGCTGGGGTGCAGAAGAGGAAGATCGTGAAGAGTCTTTGGCCAGAGATCGCGTTTCCAGTGCATGCGGGTCAGCACTGACCAACCACATCAACCCTTGTGTTCATTTGTTTGTCGTACCCCAAGTGGCCCCAACATAAACGAGAAAATCATAGATCCTCACACCAGGCTGGCTGGATTTGGGGACAATTTTGTCCGTTTCCAGGGCGTTCTGCCCAAAGAGGCCACCTAGACTTCGATCGTGACGAAAACGGAGGCCACAGGCTTCCAGCGAACCATCACACGATCGACATCACTCCCGCCGAATGCGGAGTGAAAATGGAGTGATCACACAGAAGTCGCTCCAGCGAGGTCGGCGGCCCACTGGCCGACCGACCTTTCTTTTGGACTGCAGAAATGAGAGAAAGACGACGTTCGCTGCCTGGGACCCAGTTGGTGAAGAATTTGTGGATCTCTCTTCACACCAAATAGCCCCTCCTTCCGAGAAAGCTGGGGGGTTCTGGAGTTCTTCAGCAAAGCCTATCAAAGCCCTGCAGAGTTGCAGAACCCGACCCGCCTGCTTTGGTCACCATAGGATCCCACTCTGTAGGGACGGGTGAAAGAAACCCAAGGAAAACGTCCCATCCTTCGTTGCCGCGCCAAAGCCACGCTCACAAAAGCACCACGGGTGAACTAACCCCCCCACGTGCTCCACGTGCTCTCGGAGGGTCGTTGTGTCACTACACTCTGACTCACTGGAAGTGGAAAAGGGATGAAAAGGGTACTTGGACGACTACGTTCAGTACAAATACCAGGGGGTCTTCCACTTCCCATGTGAGTGAGCCGGAGAAACGTGATTGCAAACCATCCCATGTTTTCGTCTCTCACCAACGTGGTGATCGACAGACGCTTTCGAACTTGGGGGCCTCACATTTCGCGCCGCCGGCGGCCCCAAAGAGCTGGGCGAGTCGGGCCAAGCGAGGGGCGAGTTGGGACCGTCGTTCTGAGGCTCGACCTATAGCTACTTTTTCAAGGCCACAGAGACCACCGACACCAAGATGAGGAAGGGAAACAGCTCCAGGGTGTGCAGAGAAGACATTTTCAGATATATGGAATATTTGCGTAGGTGGATCGTTGGGTATGTAATGGTATGTATGTCATCTACAATTTCCACTATATATAGTGTTTTCATGATATCAACCAATTGCGTGCGGAAGCAATGCTTGCAGTGTAGGGATGGCCGGTGAGATCGACAGCAAGGAGAACGGCTCTCTTCGGACGACCAGACCACCGGATCCACGGTAGATCATGCGGATCCTCTGATCCAGAGAGGTCAAGTGACCTGAACTAGGACCCTACCATAGGGTACCTATGGTATAGTCTATAGGGTCATTCAACCTTTGTTGGTGATGTCCTTTGGTCTTTAACTGTGCTTCAGTGCTTCAGGGCATTGAACAAGAGACCAGTGAGGATACCATCCGGCTTGATCAGTTTAAACAAAAAGAACCGTCTCATCGGCTGAAGGAGCGGCTGCAAAACGCCCAAATATCTTTGTTCGTCATGGTCACATGTTGACCTGTGGGGGTGGTTCTCAGTGAGGTCCAGAACCTGCAGGTTTGGTTCACAAGCGTTTCCTTTTACAGAGTTTTTGGCGGCATCCGAATCTCACGCCGGAAATTGGGGTGTGAAGTTTGAACCAGACAGTCACCCTGGCCCAATGGGGAGTCACTCTATTTTCCGGACTCCCCATTGGTTGGATCGAACTGAGAGGTCTCCCCTTCATGGAACGTCTGCTGCTGGAAGCGGTCCTTTAGAGGCTGCAAAACGCAAAGGACGGCAGACTGCAGGCGGCGGCCAACCAAATCAACTCAACTCACAGCGGTTGAAGTTGGCTGACCTGAAGGGCAGGGTGCTGAATTCAACCAGTGACGCTGTAACAGGCAGCTGCATTACTGAAGTGTTTCCCTCAGGTTCTTGCGAGCATATGCTTGAAATCAAGTTTTGACCAGCAACAATTGAATGCTGAATTTGACCAAAAGTCTAAGCTATTTATTATATGGACCGGAGTTTTGCTAAGTGGACGCTGCAGTACTAGAGTACAGCAATCATTTTTGACCCCTCAAAACTCTTTGCTCGTATTCATAACATATCCCATTTTGCAGTGCTCTTGTCAAGAAGGATCTTTGGATTTGAGCCAAGATTCCTCAGGCGGTTACTGTACAATAGATCAAACAAGGGAAGTATGGTGCCCCCTCGTAGCATGTGCCAGCAATAAGTTATGGCTACTTTACCCGATGTTGCTTTCTTTTCCCACTTCTGTACGTACTCTTTCCAACGGAGCAGATGCGTTCCTTTTTTGGGAGCGCAAAGTGGACATGACATTTTATGGCACCAAAACGCAGAGTCGACGCATCGAAGCAAACGCAGAGTCGACGCATCGACTCCCACGTCTGTTTTCGGGTCGCTTTTTCTCTGGAGCCAAGTGTGCTTGGAGCCGGACACGGCTCGTTCCGCCGCCGACGACCACGGAAAGGAACCGAACCTGGCCAGGTCCGGAACGGTTCGGCCCTTTCATCATTGGTTGGTGGATTCTCTTGGAGGGGGATACCCATGACAGTACAACATTGTCACAAATATATACAGTAGGTCTTTGGTACCAAACCGACCCCCTCTATTCCCAAATGGGCATCGCAGGCCAGGTCTTGTTACACTTGTTACAAGGTTCAGAAGGCTGTATTCGCGCGGATTGGGTCTGAACCGCCCGAATTCCACAGGCCGAGAAGATCTTCTTTAACTCTTGCAGCTGAAAGGGGCTCGGAGTCATGGGCATGAGATGTGGCTACAAGACTAACATGTTGACCAGCGAACATCAGAGCAAAGCCTCATCAAAGACAAACAGAGCGAAGCAGACATTGGAGGATCGAGCAGCATCAGCTGATGAGCATGGACGACGAACACCCAAATCCAGGTGCAGAACATGTGACCATGGCGGATAAGATCTCTTCGCATCGTTCGTGCTGAGCGCATGCCGCGTGGTTTCTCCGAATGGAAAGAGCAGCAATTGAGCATCGAGTGCTCTTGCGCAGTCGCTGGGAGCAGATGAGTGGATTGGGAGACCTCAGTCGATGTTTGTTTCAAAAAAACATGCATTCAGAACGTTTCAGACATGTTCATCCCCCAGTTTTGTTTTTGTTGAAAGAACCCTTAAATGATATCTTGTGGTCTTCATCATCTTCTTTC